GCGCTTTCCAAATATATTTAAAGCCCATCAAACATTAGAATTTAACTAAAACTAAACTTACAAAGATATATTAGTTAAGAACCCAGCAAAAAAAAAGAAACCTCCAAGAACCCAAGAACTTAAAAGTGCTAAAGTGATTACAAGTAGTGCTCAAGTATCCAGAACATATCGCACACATAAAACACTATTACTATTGAGTTGTGAAAATGGTTATGTCGGAGCTACGTTGGCACACCGCTAGTCCCGAGGATAATAACAACTCCTTGAAGCGCGATCTGCTCAAATCAACGCCCACAAGCGCCCGCGAGGCGGCCGCCGTTCACATTATGCAGAATCGATGTAAGTTTTAATTTGTGATTTTAAAAAACTTAAAGGTTTTAGAGATGGTTCTTAAACTTGAGATATTTTGAAGAGATTTATTACCAAAACAAAATAAATATTTATGAGATATTTCTTAGTGGTAAATTAGGTTTACTTAGGTTGCTAAAGGACCATAATTTGTTTAATGTTTAAACAATTTTAAATTCGAATAGGTTTTGAAACTTGAGCTTTGTATGTTTATCTTTGCATCAACACAACTTCTTCTCCGCTTACATTAAACATTATATTAATTAATTAAGATAATATTATTCTGATATAACAAATCTTTAACAAAATGTTCTTATGACACCCATTCAATTTGGAAATGATATTTTATGTAAATCAAAAGAAAATCACATAAATAATTATCTATATTCTTGATATATGAAAATTTGTTTTGATATTTAAAGGAAAAGCGCCTTAACTATAACAAATAATTATTATTAGGATTAGGTTAACCCAAAAATGACTACTAAAACATTAACATAATAGTTGGTTAACTATTTTAAAGAGTTAATATTATACTATATATTTTCTCCAATCAAAATGATATATATTTTTCTAAATAAATAAAGCTCCAACTATAAGACAAATACTTGAAACAACATTTAAATGCCTTCTTTAATATATTTTTCCAGAAACAAATTCTGCACATTTATTTTAAACTAAAATCAGTAACAATACATTTTTAAGTCCTTAAATTTTTCAATGTAAACTATTTCCGCATATGATTTCCGGTAAACAATAAGACTTCAACTTGCCTTTCTAATAAGAAAATTCCAAGTGCAGAGCTCATAAAATTTCCCTCTGAGAAAAGAACCCGGCTAATAAGCACTCAATTTCGAATTTCCCCAAAAGACTGCCTTTCACTATTACTAAGCCAGACCTCGTGAAAATTACCATGACTGAGAGTCAGGTGCTTGGCGCCTCTAAGCCGAAAAAACTAAACACCTCGATACCAAGAACAAAGAAAATGCAATCTGCTTATTGAAAATACCCCGGCACAGGTGTCTCCGTCATAAATATTAACTCCCGTCGACCCACTTAAAGTCCCGTCTCAAGACCCACCAACCAAACGGTGCCAGGCAACATTTAGTTCTGTTACATACAAAACTAACAAATGCCGGGGACCATAAAAATATTTATTAAAGACGCATATTTCTTGCACAAGCTGGCCAATACCTGAATATGACCATGTAAATGGGTGCGAGGAGCACTGAGACTGGTGGCGATGGGCACTCAATGGAACCGCTTGGCCATTGTAAACAAATACATTTAATTTGTTGCCTTATCAATTATCGTTTGCTAGGGGCAATAAAAAAGCGCATTTCGATGACAAATATTGTAAAAAAAATTGTCCCATTTGGAATACGGAATATGCGTAATAATTCCAATGAGCCACAGCTCTCAAGTGTTTCTTACCACAAGTGGTATGTACTTTGGAGCGGGTTCTGATGATTGATTATGTAAAATAACAAAAATAAAGAATAGACTCTGACGAATCTGGAGTGAGTAATTAAGGTAGATAAGCAGGTGACAAGGAAACATTTAAATTAGATATAAGATACAAATAAGATGATAAAAACGGTGACATAGAGACAAAAAGTTCTTCGTACTTCTGTACTCTTCATTTTCCTTCTAGTAGTCGAGCACGTGACGCAAGTAATTCCCCTAATCTTAGAAACTTATAGAACGATAGCTAATATATGTCTCATGATATTCATATAAGAGTTTGCCTTGTACACTGCGATTTGCTTATCGCTTATCGCCTGCTTATCACCTGAAACCAAAATCGAAGTAACATGTTGCACACCTGCACAATATTTATTAAGATTCCAAGAAGTCCACCTCCACTTTGCAGAGTAAACAAGTTTCGTCATATTTTTGGTGATTTTAATAAATTAAACCGAAGGCCCGAATTGAAACGAAAACTTGTTCGGTTTGGCAATCAGTTTTAAATTAATATATATTTGAGCGATTAGAGCCGGGGGCCAATTGACGACAACATTGTTCAACTTGAATAATAACATTATTTTTAGTCATTGTCCATATGAGCTCATACTGAGCTCCCCCCTTAGAAAATTATTACCTCGCCCCTTATCGGCGCTATAAAAGGTGACCAGGAAAGAAGGCGTGTGTCCCAATATTTTTTATGGCTAATTCTTGGAAAGCCAATGAAGAATCGATTAAGATTTACAATTGGCAAAGCGGAAACTGATAGAAAATGCAGTCGTACATTGTTTTGTAATGCAATTCGAGGTGATTAACCAAAAGTCAATAGTACTTCAATAAGGGGGTTTAAAAATCAGTTAAAACGTACAATTCAGTTCAATGTATTGGCCATTTGTTTGCAAAGGTCTTCATTTGCTAGTTGCATATTTAATTAGCATTTATTTTAAATGCCATAACTAAGGTAATCAAGGAAATTTATTTACATTTGTTACACTTATTTTTGAGTAGACTTTACAAGTGAGTTAAGGAGTTAATAAACACTTTTAAAGTAGGGAAAGGAATTAAATAAATAGAATCCTAGTAAGTACCTAGTAAGTACTGTTTTGAAGTATAATTTACAAAGTAAATAATTGAAAAATCTGTTCAGATAGAAGATTATAATTTTAATATAAATGTATTACATTAAAGTGGTATTTAGGGACTTGCATTTCTTAATCTAAATATTAAAGACTCATCCTGCACTCTCTCATATATCCTGAGCCTCTCCTTAATTACTAACTCTCTCTCTCTTGAATTCCCCTAATCAAGCTTTCATTTCGCCGCACTTGAAGCTTTCTCTGCTCTTTCTCTCTCTTTTTTTGTGATTTTGCTAGTTTTGTTTTGCTACGAATATACAGGCAGAGACAAAGGCCAAAGAGCACGCACTCGGCTTGCCTTTGAGTCTCCATCATTTTCCTTTATTTTCCTTGATTTTATTTTATTTATTTATGTTTTTTTTCGGCTACTTTCGGAGAGGGGGACTCTCCTTGGCTCTCCTCTCCTCTGTGGCAGTGGCAGAAATCGAGGGGGTCAAGAGTTCAAGACACGCAGCTTCCGCCGCCGACAACGACGACGACTCAATCGATAGTCAGTCTCGGTCTGCGCACGTGATGACCGCCGTCTATAGGATATAGCTTGTATATACATATATATATATACAGAAATATATATATTTTGTGTGGTGTTGTATTAGCCACCCCCGGCCAGGCAACAGTCGAGGTCATTGACTAATTGTGTGCGCCACACAACCAAATGTATATCTGGCCAAATTCCACATTCTCCATACTTTGCGAGACCCTCATAAACCGACACCCCCGCTGGGCGATTCTCTAAAATTTTATTTATTTCCCAGACGCATATAAATTGGGGGTGGCCACTGGCCTGTGGTTTTTGCAAATTTTCTCGGCCAAAAACTGTAAAATTCGGGAAAAATGAACCCCCAAATGCTGCTCACTTTTGGTCGTGTTCCGGACACGCGCGAGGGTGTTGAATTTTCCAAAAACAACTCTCCTTTCTCCTTTCTCGTTATATAATTTATGTGGCATTTAAACGCCGAGTTTTTGTAAAATTTTCATTTACCTAACACTGAACTATAGATTCCAAACTGTATCCGCACATATGCCGCAACCACTTGAGTTGGTAACAGCAGTTGTTGTTGCTTAATTAGCGGCCAAAAGGCGTGGCAGAAGTGTGCCAGAAGTGAGGGAAGATTGCGACGAATAGAGGCAGAGAAACTCATGCCACACATATCAGAACTGATTCATAGGGGATAAGGATCTTAGGTAGCGATAGGGTAGAGGAATCAGGATGAGATAAAAGCAATGTGTAGTAGATTAAACAAAAGTATCTCAGGGATTGAACGAGATACAAGCTATGAGTGGTGGATTAAAAATAAGTATCTCAAGGATTCAAAGAGTTTTGAAATGAATTGTACCTATAAGTAACAAAATAGTATTTATAGATAGTAAATTAAGCTTGGTAAATATATATTTGAAAATAAAAGAGGAAATGGTTAATGTAGTTCAGTTCAGTTAGTTCAAGAGTTAATATTTAAAAACAAACAATTTCCTATAATGACACCGCTTAGAAATGCAAAATAATTACTTGGAAGTATTATTTAATATACAAAAATATAGTTTTCAGACTATAAAATAGATTTTTACCATTAAGAATAGAATTTCCAATGCATTTTAAAGAAGAATTTCAAGTCCAGTCGCATCGTAAATTAGCCAGAACTAAAGAAAACGAAAATTCTATTTCTTCAAGACATAAAAATGCAGCAAATGTTGTCTGCAGCTCCCAAACTCTTTCAAAAATTCAAATTGGTAGCGGACCAGGTGTTCCTTGAACTCCTGCATACGTACTATATCCCTCGACGATGCCCATAAAAATATCCTTTTATAGGCAACGGTGTCGATGTCTGAGTCTGACGACTGACCATTTGGTCAGTTTTTGGCTTAAAATGTATATCAATATCGATTTCGTGTTGTATCCGTAAACCTGAGCTCCTTGGAAAAATTCGTATGTTTTTGTTCCTTTTTCACCCGGTTTTATGCTCGCGACGTGTGTTTATTTTATATGTTTAACTTTAAGTGGTCTCAATTTATACTGGTCTAAAAATGTTCTTCTATTTTCTATTTTCCTTACAGATATCAGTCGCCTGTCGCGTTCGCCGTCGCCACTGCAATCGAATGGTAAGTGTTTTGAATTTTCTTTTTCCATTTTCCATCAGCATCAGCTGTTGTCCGAAAACGATTTACGAGATTTGTCCACTTCATATGGTATATGTATATACATATTTCTAGTTTGAAACATCTGCCTGTTTTGGGGGGCAGCGGATTTCATCTCGGTTTCACTAAATCACATCGCATGTTTTCGGTTCAACAAAAAGACAATAAACCGAAGGGAGTATCGACTTCAACCCTTGCCACGCGCTGTCCCCTGAGCTAGGGAATATATGTTTATTCACTACAAAATATATATATATATCTGGTTTAGGGTTAGGGTTGATGTGTGTATTTTCCTATATGGAGACGACTCCTGGCTCACCCCTCTTGCCTATGGAGGCCTGTCACAACTTTTGTCAACCGAGATTTAGGGGCAGGCGAAATAGGGATGTCTTTAAGTTGATTTTGATGTCTTATTAAATGGGTGTTTTCGGCTTAACGGCTTCTTAAGTAGTTTCTAAGGTGACAATTGGCTGTGTTTCCCTCCCTAATTGTTGCCTGGAAAAGGGTAAGAAAGTTCTTTTGGTTGCATTATAAATATTTGATGGATTCATAAACCAATGTTCGATTATTATTCATAACTCGTTTCATACAAGGAGGCTGCGTTCAATTTACAATTCACACTTTTCACAATTTCATGGACTTCGTTAGTCACGGTCCAAACAAAAAAAAAAACCAAAACTTCAACCTTTTCTGGCTCCCTTTTTTTATTATTATTATTATTATTTTCTTTTTTTTTGTGCCACATTATTGACAGCATTTCGCTTGATTTGAATTCGAATATCTGTGAGGGAGGCTGTGGTTGTGTGTGGGACACAGTGGCTGTGATTTCTTTCACGAACATGAACACATATATATATATATTTACATATATTTTATGCAAAAATTATTCCGTTATGCCCGGACCCAGTATGTGGGAGCGCTTTTTGGGGTAGCTCGATGTGCAGTCAAACTGACCATTTGGCTTCTTTTTTTATTGGTTGAGCTAAATGGAACAGGAGCGGCGAACGAAAGGGGGTTGCCTTTAAGGTTTCTTGACTTAAGTATGAATATCTTTAAATTTTATATTTATTTTTATCCTATATATCCTTAAATAATCTAGAGAAACTCCCTTGCAAATTATTTAGAATAAATTCTCTTCACAAAAAATATCTCTCAATTAAAATATTTTCAAACTAGATACAAAACCAATATATATTTTTATATTAACTTAAATTTTATAATATAAACCCCTCTAGAAACTTCAATTTACCTCGGAAAAATCCCTTTTCTCTCATTTGAAGACCCCACCACTGGGTCCATTCACACAACACATACAAATCGAATTTGCACATCATCTGAATACCAAATGGACGCACGTAGCCCGTCCGAGAAGGAGCGAAAAAATCGCTCCTGTCCCGGGTTCGGGTCGCATATGTAAAAAGGATGACCATGTGGTCGGTCCATCCTCCAGCCATCCAACCGATGGGTCTTCGTCCACTTGGGCGAATAAGTCATCAAATTCACGTAGCTGCTGTAGCATCAGGAGGCGAGCACAAGTCATAAAGTAGCCAAGGCAAACATATGCAAAAATTGCCTGCATTGGACAGAATGTGGAACTTGGTTGGGGTTGGGTCTGAGAATGGGATCTAGAGGAGATTGGGATTCAGACCACTTCAAAGGGTTTAACTCCATTTGATTGCCATTTATGAGGGAGGAAGTTTGCTGCTTTCCTCTAGCTTTAGCTTAGAAAATGAACTTGTGCCTTGAGTATTTAAATATTATTGCAAATCAATTGGCCAGGAGTCGAGGCTACCCTTTCTCTCTATGCTGTATGAATAAAATGCATACAAATAGCAAATTTATACAAATCTCTTTGGCCAAGGCATTTGAAATGCTAAAATGCCACTTAAAAGCAGCTAAAAGCGTCAGCCAAAATGAAAAGAAAACATGAGAATTCCATTTGATGTCAAGGTGGAACTATGTAAACTATGGGGTGAAAAGTGCCTGCCACTGACGACTGGGTTTTTCTTTTTCTTTTTCGCATAATATAAACCCACTGCGATGGGTGGTCGTGGTCACGTGAAAGGCTTTCTTTCACTCGAAACCTGAAACCCAACGGACTATGAAATTGAACAAAAATTATACAAAACGCGCTCGTGTGGCCTATGCTAAATTTATGCAAAAGGACACTCGCATTGGTCCCCAAAGAGTGACTCATTTTTGCATAGTTTCAATGGATGGAAAAATATACATTTTCCATGGGTTTTGGGTCAGTTGGTTACGCCTCCTTCCTATGTTTGATTGGGAAAAAGAGTTGTGAAAGGAGGAAATATTTAGAAAAGGTTTTGATTAATGACTGAATAAAGTTGTAACAAATGAAACATTTTATTTTTGTACCAAAAAAATTTTAAATTTAATATTTCAAGAGATTTTAAGGAGGTAACTCCGGGAGTTTTCTTTCCCGATGAATTTCTTAAATAAAATTGTATTTTCCTTTAAATTTTCCTAACCCTTACGTTCCCTATTTTCTTTATTTCCTTGCAGCTTCCGATTGTGATGACAATAACTCAAGTGTGGGCACTTCAAGCGATCGCTGCCGATCTCCCCTGAGTCCTGCCTTGTCCCTGACCCACCAGCAGGCCAAGCGCCAGCTGCTGATGCAACCACATCCGGCCCACCACCATCATCATCATACAGCGCATCACCTGAACCACCTGAACCACCATCAGTACAAGCAGGAGGATGACTATGAGGATGCCAATGGTGGTGCTTTGAACTTGACCAGCGACAATAGCCGTCACAGCACACAGTCGCCTGCGAATTCGGTGAAATCGGTGAATGCCTCCTCACCGGTGCCAGCGGTTATATCAGTGCCCTCACCAGTGGCGCCCATGATCTCGCCAGTTCTGCCACCGTCCACGATTGGGGGAGGAGGAGCAGCAACAGGATTGGGAGGTGGTGCCACTCCCCCAACTTCAATGGCAGCTGCCGCAGCAGCAGCCGCTGCCGCCGTGGCCACTTCGATGGCTTCTGGTGGTGGTATTTCCCCACTTTTAGCCCTACCGGGCATGTCCTCGCCACAGGCTCAACTAGCGGCCGCTGGTCTTGGTCTAAACAATCCCCTGCTGACGGGTTCCCTATCGCCACAGGACTTTGCCCAGTTCCAGCAATTGCTGCAGCAGCGCCAACTGGCTCTGACTCAACAGTTTAATAGCTACATGGAGCTCTTGAGGAGTGGATCACTGGGTTTGTCCCAGGATGATCCCGCACTAACCGCTCAGGTGGCCGCCGCCCAGTTCCTAATGCAAAGTCAGCTCCAGGCTTTGAGTCAAGCCTCCCAGCAGTTGCAGGCTCTGCAGAAGCAGCAGCAGCGTCAGCAGGAGGAGCCACTGCAGCTGAATCAACACCACAAGATGGGGCAGCAACAACAGCAGCAAATCCAGCAACCCCGCAGCTCCACTCCACACTCCGCATTGCGTAGTCCCATTGCTATTCGTAGTCCCGCCAGTTCACCCCACCAAATGGGACACCATCATCCCCTCCAGATCACACCGCCCAGTTCGGCAGCCAGCCTCAAATTGAGTGGCATGCTGACACCCAGTACTCCCACCAGTGGCACCCAAATGCAAAATACACCCAGCACTCCGCAGCCCAAGACAGTGGCCAGTGCAGCGGCTGCCCGAGCGGCAGGTGAACCCTCACCGGAAGAGACCACCGATCTGGAGGAACTGGAGCAGTTTGCCAAGACCTTCAAGCAGCGTAGAATCAAGCTAGGATTCACCCAGGGTGATGTTGGATTGGCCATGGGTAAACTCTATGGCAATGATTTCTCGCAGACCACCATTTCACGCTTTGAGGCCCTCAATCTGAGCTTCAAGAATATGTGCAAACTGAAGCCGCTGCTTCAGAAGTGGCTAGACGATGCCGATCGCACCATCCAAGCCACCGGAGGTGTCTTCGATCCCGCTGCCCTCCAGGCCACCGTGAGTACGCCCGAGATTATTGGTCGCCGGCGCAAGAAGCGTACCTCCATTGAGACCACCATACGCGGTGCCCTTGAGAAGGCTTTTATGGCCAATCAGAAACCCACCTCCGAGGAGATCAGCCAACTGGCGGATCGTCTGGGTATGGAGAAGGAGGTGGTTCGTGTGTGGTTCTGCAATCGCCGTCAGAAGGAGAAGCGCATTAATCCCTCCCTGGACAGTCCAACGGGAGCCGATGACGAGGAGTCGTCCTACATGATGCACTAAGAGTGAAGTGGAGGTCACCACATTTTAGGGACAAAGACAGTGCAATGTGCAGAGGAGGAATGCTAAGCAACACTATGTGCAGGTAATTATTATTTTTCATTTATTACGAAACCTTTTTTCCACGCTTTTAAAAATTTAATAAACTAAGCCTTTGATTTATATTATTGATTTCACTTGAATTATTTCCTATTCCCTTTAATTTATTTTACTAAAATCCTAATAAATATGCTTCTTAATATATTGAAACTCTTACTAATTAATTTCTTTCTTTGCTTATTTCCTTGCAGGTTCAAAGACGCAAACACATCAAATACTAGCTTAATTCTGTCCTTAAATTAGGTATCAAATCCTAAAAAAAAGACAATTCACACACAAGAAAATTGGGGTTTGCTTATGTTAACTATTAATGGTATTTATTGTAACGTATAATTGTAATATAAACTTTAACCAAAATATAGCTAATCAAGTCAACATTTATCAAGTGTTCACTTGATCACCTGTATTTTGTAATCCTTTAAGGAAATGGTGCTTGTATAGCCTTTGATAGGCTTATAAATTCCATTTCCTTATGGATCCGTACTACATGGCGTATGTGTATTATTAATATTTAAGTACAGTCTCTGCACAATTTTCAAAGTCAAACCTAATGAATTCCTAGCGAATAATTTAACACAAAAAAAAACTAAAAAACAAAAAGAAGTAGTTTAGTATCTAAGCATATTTATTTTTCGCGTGAATACTGTGATAATCAATTTGAATGATTTTAATTTTAATTAAAGAAAAAACAAGAAAAGAAAGCAAAAATAAGAACCTAGTTGTATGTTTGTATGTTATGGGCAAGTAAACTAACAAAACAAGTAAACAAGAAAACATTAATTTAAACTTAATTCAGCGTATTTATGTGTAAAAAAACAAATTGAATTTATGAAAAATGAAACCCAAAAACCATTTATATAATTGTAAAATGTGAAAAACCCACTAGAATTTTTAAATGTATAACTACAAAGAGAGGGCCAGAGAAGCCAGCAAAAAAACACAATGAAATAAAAATAATTATCATACAAAATAATTGCGAATTTTTTCTTACTTTGTGGATGTATCTCAAAGATATCAATCACGAGAGGCAGAAAGAATTTTCTGTTTTTCTGCGGCTCATATAAAAGGGAATAAAACCAAGAATCGCAAGTGTCTGAGTTAAAGTAAAATTTTAATAAATAACAACATGCAAAACTGAAATTAATTCATGGAATTCAAGTGAGCGCGGAAGCGCGTGCAGAGCTAATAAGAACCAGACACCCGCAGAACGACACAACTGGACCGATTCGATCTCATGACCAAGATATCAACATGCAGATGAGGCCAACGATCATGAAACCGCACTTCCAGGGGGCCGAACCTGGGTCACTTCTAGAGCATATATACTATCAATGGGAAGCCGCCCCAACAAAATGAATTCACTGCGATTTCGAGGGACGGTCGGGGCAAAGTCATTTGCTGTCATTGTCGCTCCAGCTTTGAGCAATTAAAAATTTGTTCACTAACGCTGTGAGTTGGTACAGTGAAAAGTCGGTAAAAAGGTATATAGATATAGGTATAAAAGGTATATATAATGTTTTTCAAATATCATAACTAAGGCAAAAGTGACTTAATTTTAATTTAGATAGCTGTTTTGTGCTACCGTTAAAAAATCTACATACCAAGCTTTAAAATTGTAAAAGTTAAAATTTTTCCCAATTTTTCAATTTTTTTTTTTTTTTTGAAAAAACATTGAAAAAATTTCGAAAATTTTATTTTAACCGGACATAGTTAGATCGACTCAGCTGATGTGCTGCTCAGGAATGTATATGATTTATAGGATCGGAAATAACTCCTTCACAGTTTAACAAGCTTCTCACTTAAATTATAATACCATTTTTTAAGTCAATATATTAAATTACATTTTTTTCCAGAAATTAAATATTAAAAATATCATAACTCAGCCAAAAACGTATTAATTTCAATTCGGAAACGTGTGCTATGGTTGTTTTCATAAGGCAATAAAACTGCATACTCAATTTAAAATGTTAAAAATTAATTTTTTTATAATTTTTTTTACAATTTTAACATAATTGAAAAAAAGCGAACAAATTTCGAACCACTTTTTTCAAACCGACAGCTAGATCGACTCAGCTGTTGATGCTGATCAAGAATATATATGATTTATGCTGTCGGAAATTACTCCTTCACAAATTACAAGCTCCTGACTAACATTATAGTAAGATTTAAGACAGGATTAAGACAGTTTGAATTTGTAGATTTTGTATATAATTTAGTATACAATGCAATGCAATATACTTTAAAATCTATTTGAAATATATTTTTATTTAAACAACTTTGTAGTTATATTCATCTTATACAAATCCAAAGGCAAAATAATTAATAGCCAGAGATTACTACGATCAAATCAACTAATACAATTTATGGTAGAATTACGCATAATAACAAATTCCCACGAAAATTTCCACAAAATGTATTTTAAACAAAATAGGATATATAATTGTAAATAATTTATTTGTAAGTAAATTCGTTCTAAAAAAGCTACACAAGGAATACATTGAAAAACCACAAGCTTTCTTTTTAAGGCACACAAAATTAGGATGATGGAAAATGAATTTCTTCCAAAATTCTTCATAGAGGAGTGCTCACTGTATTCATTAGCAGGGCAGAGGCTCGACACATACGCAAATGATGTTGAAAGCAGATGCAGATGCCCTCCCATCGACCTCCCTGGTACTAGAAACCGTGCCTCCTCCATTCCGCAGACACTTGTTTGCATGGAAAGCGCATAATCATCGCGTGTCATGTGGAAATTTATACTATTTATGGTCTGTTTGTTTGTAGTCAGATGGAATCAAATGGAATGGGAATATATATGGAAGCTCTGGGGGCTTTGGTGTTGTTGGTTGGGCATGAGATGTTAGCCCTCTGGGCAATACTTAAACCGAGCCAAGCCTGGGCTTTTGTCTTCTTTGCTTTTAATTTTAATAAATTCATGGAAAATTGCCAGTAATTACGAGACAAGCGGCGACGATTTCACAGGAATTCTGCAACTCCACCCCCCAAACAACAGGGAAATCTTTATGCTCATTCACATTTTCATTTCCTTCCTCCTGCCACGTGAAAAGTGTAAAATTTGCATATGAGAAAATTGGAGCTCGTAAACCCCATTAGAGTGTACAGCAAACATTGTTGTAGATGGATTGCGATAAATCTTTTTGGCCCCTACGGGCAAGTGCGAACCACGAGCTTGAGTCTGAGATCGAGACCCCCAATTGGCATTTCCCAGGCGACTTTCTAAGCTTGGAATATTCGCGGAATATTCATTATCCCAGAGGGAGAGAAAGAGAGCGGCCAAAGTTCTACGTGCTTAAAATCAACTGAATTTATACAAATTAAAGCACATTTAATTACTGAAGATGGTGCCAGGGAATTATAGCTTTAAGGTGACGGGTCGTCTAGGAGGCACTCCTTCTTCTTTTCTACTCTTCTCTTTTATATTTTCCATTTAAATCACCGATATGATGAGCTTAACACCTGAAAGAAAATCTCCTTGTCATGCAGTGGCATCAAAGACATCAAAAAAACAAACCTGAATGAGGCATAAATTTCAACCGACTCTTCGCCAACTTTCTAGTAAAAAGTAAAGAGAAAAAATTTGCAATGCATTGCATTTTAGTTGGAATTGCTTAATTTATCAGTTCAGCACACAGTTGGCATTTCCCGCCCCGGAAAATCGAGTAAGGGAGGGGAAAAGCGGGAGGCCGGCGAAGCACGGAGCTTATGAATATGCATCGAGGAACTTGCCTCTCTGCCACATACTTTTAGTTAGACATTTTATTTCATTGCTGCATATATAGATTTATACTGTTGTTAACTATTTTTTTTACTTTACTTACAAAGAAGGCCTTCAGTCCAGTATTTGTTACTGGGAATTAACAGGGGGAAGAGGTGATGGGGAATGCCACTAAACGAGTTAACAATTACTTAGTATTATGATTCACTTAAAGTTTCGATTTATTCAGAAAGTCACTTGTCCAATGGGGAAAATCAGATTACAGAACAAGTGTTGCCATTATACCTATTTAATATAAGAATTTAAGCATTAAAAGGCCTCAGCAAATAACTGAAATATACATAAACATTCTTTGTCACTGAATATGTTCTTCTCTGGTCACTTTTAGGCTGATATCCTTATTTCTACCCTTGCAAATACCTTTTAAAATTAAAATATTCCCACTAAGACTTTAATTAAAATGATTCGTTATAACAAATTAATAGCCATAAGCATTAAATGTAAATTATGCAAACTCAATTACTATTTTCAATGCACTCTGAAAATCCTTTCCGTTCGGCTTCAATAACCTCACTAAGTGTGAGTCATAACTTCCATCTCACCCCTATCCAATCAATAACTAACCCATTATTTACCAATACTGACCTTAAAATCATACAAAGAACTTGGAATTATTGCATTTGCGTGTACTTAATGAATGCAAGCGCAGACCACAAAAGCACCAAGAAATACCAATCGAATGCCAAAACTCTACGGTGCAGGTGTTCTTTACCAATTGTGTAGTGTGGAAAGAACAACAAATTATGCAACTTTAATTTGCCTTCGACAAACAACATATATATATGAAAAATGTGAAACAAAGAAGCTTAATTAGCATTTGGAAAATGCAAAAAAAGGGACGGCGGGCCAATTTGTAAATTATATGAAAAGGTCGAGCATGCAAGTTAACCGCCACTTCCCGTTCCTTGATGTGGTCATTAATTAAGAATTAGTTTTGTAAATACTTGGCGCAATTTGGTCTTAGCCTTCTTTAGCTTCTGGTGCTTGCTTTTTGAAATTAAATTGTTTTATAACGAAGTGTCTGTGGCTTGCGAAGCGCAAAAGTGGCGCCGAGTCCCAGCCCTCGTCCGAGGGGGCAAATATTTAAGCCAACTTCCCGGCACTTTGCATGTGATCATGCAATTGCAACAGAGGGGGCGGTGGCATAGGCGTCCAAGATTATATTATTTCTGAATTTAATTTACGGTCCTCGGGGCTCATTAAAGCTCTATATCTCTCTTCTCTCTCGTGGCCATAGAATGTCTCTGATGCTCGGCTTGTGATTGCCCAGGGAAATGGGGAGCTTCGGGATAAGAGATCTTGGAGTGAGTCCGAGATCCGTCTGCCTCCATTTCGACTCTCTTGGCTGGGTATGTTAATGTCGGTCTGTGGCAACAACACCTACTTCATTACAGGTTGCACAAATATAATGCAACATGATTTCATGGCTCTTTGAGGAGTTCTTTTGAACAGGAACAGTGTGTCGATCATAGAGAAAATTGAGAACAAATTTAAGCCAAATGTATATCTTTAATAAAATGAAGTAATCTTTGAATTTCAAGGGTCTTTAAGTGGGATTTTCTAATAATTTAGGAACACAGAAAAACAAACACATTAAAGCTTATATTTCTTAATCATATTTAAGGAGTTTAAAATTATAGTTCTCTAAAATATTTATAATAAATAATGTTCATCCATATATTTTCATTATTTAAATAAACTAGTCTCAGCATCATTATAAAAACCCAATGACTTAGTACCACTGTTCTTTAACAAATCAAGTCCAGTGCATTATGCCAAGAACTATCAAAATCTTATTAAATAACAATGTAAAAGCCAATCCCCTGAGGCTCATTCCGGAACGCGTTAATAGAAAACATCATCATTGCGAACAAATATACATTTTATGATTGCGATAATCTACAGAGACACACAAAGAAATGTACGTTTTGGCCATGGTCAGTGGCTTGCAATGAAAGAATTATAATACATATAACTAATTAGTAAATATCATTTGCTACCGCCTCACATTAGAAAT